AATCATGGGTATGGCACAACCACCAATCATGGGTATGGCACAACCACCGATCATGGGTATGGCACAACCAACAATCATGAGTATGGCTCAACCAACAATCATGAGTATGGCTCAACCAACAATCATGGGTATGGCTCAACCAACAATCATGGGTATGGCACAACCACCAATCATGGGTATGGACACAACCACCAATCATGGGTATGGCACAACCAACAATCATGGGTATGGCTCAACCAACAATCATGAGGTATGGCTCAACCAACAATCATGGGTATGGCACAACCAACAATCATGGGTATGGCACAACCAACAATCATGAGGTATGGCTCAACCAACAATCATGGGTATGGCACAACCAGCCATCATGGGTATGGCACAACCAGCCATCATGGGTATGGCACAACCAGCCATCATGGGTATGACACAACCAGCCATCATGGGTATGGTTCAACCAACAATCATGGGTATGGCACAACCAGCCATCATGGGTATGGCACAACCAGCCATCATGGGTATGGCACAACCAGCCATCATGGGTATGACACAACCAGCCATCATGGGTATGACACAACCAGCCATCATGGGTATGGCACAACCAGCCATCATGGGTATGGCACAACCAGCCATCATGGGTATGGCACAACCACCGATCATGGGTATGACAACCATCATTCACACTTTATGCAAACCACCACAGAGCTTTGAAATGCATCTTTACCTTGCATGTGTAGGTCCACATAAAACACCACAGCAATTCTTACATATAGAGCCATAACTGTAAGGATTGTAATTATTTTCTCCCCTCTTTGATGACCATGAACCTTTAATCTGAAATGAACATAGTATATAGTGAGACAACAATGCAGTATCTAAACACTAGAATCCATCACCATGTTAATTCATGCAATGGGTGTACACTGCTATCACATTCATAGGAGTGAGAAGAGTAAAACAGTGAATAAAAGGTGATGTCAAGTGTGGACACTTACGTCTTCATTGGTCGTACTATTAGTGCAGGCCAAATACGTATGGTACCCTACCAACCCAATAACGGTGATGAAAGAAAAGATAGCAACAATACCAACAATAACATTGCAAACGCAGTCAAGGAAATAACAAACCAATAAATAACATGCAGTCTTTCACTCATCAATGTGGATCTATCATTCCATCTTACTCTACATAGTGCTCTATAGTAAACCATACTCTTAATCATCTTTTCTTTCAATCAATACATTTGTGCACTTTAAATGCATAATTTGTTTTTTGATTTTTTCCAAATTATGAAAGTTTATTTTCCCAGTTAAATAACTGATACTTAATCATGTAGCACAATGAACATTTCAGGCATAAAACATTTTCAATTTACTACAAAAAACAGAATTGGTCTTCAACACTACATTGACCTTTGGCATACTACTGCATATATTCCTATATTTACTCAAATGTGTAAAGGCAGATAGAATTAAATTAATTCTATTTTGAGAAGATAAAAGAAGAATTATGAAAGTCAAAGGTCAGTACAATATTACAATGTTATTTTACATCTGGCATCTCACTTATTACCAGCTTTCAGCTAATATTGTTCAAATTCAAATAAAATAAAATAAAATAACTTTTTTGTAATATAGATGGACAGAGCTTGAAAATCACTAAGAAAGAGAATAAACTAGTTGTACTAAAAGCATCATAAGCAAAGCATAGACAATCCTGTGAATACTATGGTGTGAATTAACTTACATCTTCATTAGTAGTCTGATTAGACGTTATCAGGTAGGTGTGAAATCCTGCCAAGCCAAGAATAGACCAGATAGAAACAAAGCAAATTACGGCTTCCAAGATGGTGCACAAAGTGAACGTCAAGGAAATTATTGACAATGGGTTAACAACATATATACAACAACTAGTAGTAGTAGTAGTGAATGAACACATTATTATTTGCTACTTGTGGGATATTTAAAATTTATGACACAACACTCCCTGTGATATTGCTGTAATTAAAAACTGAGTGATATCATGGGGTTGTCATGTAACAATCTCTTCATCATGTATAGTTTTACAATCTATAGTTTTACAGATTATTTTACATGATTTTGATATCCTTTGTAACAAAATGCATACTACGAATAAAGCATAAGCATGCATGGTCTTGGACAAAGTTAATGGAACAAATTTAATAATTGAAATTGCAATTTTGAAATTCAAAAATCAATTTTGTTTAGCAGGACTGCTTTATAACATTCACTACACAATTTTGCAATTCGGTTTCCAACAAAATAAAGTTAACTGCGGTTAAGATACACCTGCATGATAAATGAAATGTCAGAGTGAGAGTGAATACAAAGTAATAACATTGCATTCCAAGTATGATGCTGTAGTTTGCACTGTTCAATTTCCAATCTCCACAAACTGTCATGTTTTCCATTTGATTACTCATTCTCATTCAATCATAAAATACCAGCTAGAACATGGCCAGTGCACAAAACAATCAGTTGTAAAACATTTAAACATGCAGTGGTTTTTTTTATGGGCATGGTGATAACCAATAGATCAGACCCAACAGTAAAAATATTTTCTGACAACTCAAATATAAAATCTTATTTTACAATTCCTGCAAGATGTGAAGTAGAGCTGTGACAAGTAATGGTGCATATTGGTATATTTTTATATGATGAACAGTATAGTAAACAGTGTAAATCACACTTATTGTTAGTAATATTTATACATAATATACCGGTAGTTGGTAACATACAGAAAACATAGTAAAATAAATGTCAATGGGAAAACAAAAGACAAAGCAAGAATGCACAATCACAAGAGTTACCAGATCAATGTTCAACCCAGGTAGCATTTGACTTCCCTAAACCATGAATGGAACAGGCCAGTCAAGGTAAAGTCAGATCTACTCTTGAATCAGCTCATTTCTAAAACAAATAATTGGTGAAATGCTGTTTATTCACACACATGTATGGTGTGACAATATAATTATTATTATACTAGTACAATGTATATCATTGCCATGAATACATCAGAATTTTGATTTGACAGGACCCTGTCTTCAGATGATAGTTGAAATCATAAATAGTTTAATATATTGGCCTGTAGTGAGATAATATAGTGAGATAATAAAATGAAATGAAGTCATTGTCATAACAAGTCCCCGCCTAGTTTTTAGTGAGTGATTGATAGTATTAGTGCCTAATAATTATTTACACAAATGTGACAGACATTATACAATGTTGAGCCAGTTTATTTGCACGATTTTGTGCAAATGTGTAAATATGGCTCTAAAAACATGTCCACTAAAAACAAAATGGCCATCATTCAGGTGTATCAAGAACCCATTATGTCTGATGGACATCCCAAGTTTAAATCAAATATGTCTAGCACAACCAAAATCCAGTTCTGGAATGGCAGAAATGATTTTGATGAATTTTTAGCACTAAAATGGCCACCATTCAGCCATCTTGAATCAAATCATGACTCAAATGCATGTGCACATAAGCCAATATAATGTATGATGTATCTGCAGTTTAGTCCAAGTGTGTGTTTGAGATACAGCTAGATACGGATGAACAGATGCATGAAGGTCAATCATAAATCCCTATTTTCAGACTTTATCAAAACACATACACATACATGTATCCCTGATATGGGTATATATGACTGCTAGACAAATATAAAATCACAAGGTAGGAAAGCTTTGCAGACCCCGAATCTATAAAAAAATTAAAATAAAATATTATCTGGACATTTAAGCTTACAATCAGTGATGGGAGAATGCACTTGATATCATGCAAAATCTGGCACTTTTTTTGAAAAAAAGACTAAACTCCCTGTGATTGGCAATTTTGAAAATAGTATTGCACATATGCGCAGATGATCCAGGGCTAACATTAATGTCACAACATTTTTTGTGCATTTGCACATTGGATCCACCATGTTTTCTTTGCAATGAGTTACTTGCCAGTGTCCTTTGACCTGATAGGTCGAAAATGCCAATAACCAATCATGAAACCACATTACTGCCGATAGATTACAACATCTTTTGAATATTGTTGATTATAGATTGTGGAAGTAAATTTAATTATTATTAAAGTTGCAGCATGATCTAAGAGTTTTTCTGCACGACTTTAAAAAAAATGCAATTAGCACTTTTTGAACGGTAATTATGAGTATTGAGAGATGATAATTTATTCATGCTACAAACTGCAAGTCTTTACTACGATGCTAACTTAATCCTAATCTGTTTATTTTCGGCCATTAAACTACCTACCTACACTACCTACATTTTTTTTAATCACTGAATTCAACTAACCTTGCTGTTTCTTAGAACTAATTATTCAAATATGATAATTTTTACAGTAATTTATGCAGGCCATTGTTAAAATTTAGCAATATTGCCAGACATTGATATGGGTTGTGGTTTTGTGATTTGGCACTAGAATATGCATGGAAAATATTAATAATAAGTCATTATCTATTGAACATTGACTTTAATTCAGTTTAATGCTGGGAAAACAAATAAATGGCATTATGAAAGATGGTCAGTTTATATAAAAGTGAAAAGAAAGTCACTTTTCTGAAAAACAGTCAGCAACCCAGCCAACCAAATGCTGTATACAATTGTTCACTCAAGAGAAACAACAAATTCGCATTCAAGGTTCAATAACTTATAATTTTCAAAAATGTTATTCTGATGACATCAAACCTATCAATGTCTTGGTAAAGACAAGCCATGCATGGCACAGTCCCCGTTAGTTATCAAATTCAAAATATATAGTTTTGTTTATAGTAATATAGCTGGAATATAACCATGTCAGGAATATGATTTTTTTAACATTACAAGACATGACATGTCATGTCATAGCCCCCGCTCAGAAAAAAATTTAAAAACTTGTATTGAACTTAGTTTGTGTCAGAGTGAATTAATTCATTATGAGCTGTATTAAAATTTAGTTATTAAATGTTCAGAATTGTTGTGTTACAATTTTAGGGGGTGGGGTAAAAATTTATTCATTTGGCTTTTCTGAGACAATTTATAACTTGTTAAACATATAATGCGATGTGCACTTGTAAACAATTATTACCTGTCCCTGTACCAACTTTGAACAAAACTGGATGATACATATCTGAGTGTTAACAGCTAGAAAAAGCTCGTTTTTTTTTAGATTTTTGAGGGAAAAAATGGCCTCCAAGTCGTAAAACTTTATCCAATCAAACAGGACATGAATGACACTGAAAGTTGCAACATATAATTTGTCCAGTTTTTGGCATGGATGTAAATTGGCAAACATGATTTCTATGGCATTTTCAAGTTTATAGCACTCTCCATCCTGGTCTCAGCAAGAACACCAGAGAGCAACAAACAAGTACAACAGGTAAAATGACATGCAAGTATGCAAATCAGATCTGCAAATATGTTGAAGAGTCAGTGTTGTGTCTGTTTGGATAAACTTCCTTGTACAACTGTATTCCTAATACAAGAACACTGTCAATCACAGAACTTTTCCAGCGAAAAACTTCTGATATTTCAAACAGTAACAGGGCAAAGATACCGTTTGTCATACAAGTACTAGCACCAGATGAGGAACTGAGAAACTGCAATGATCCTTGGTGTACATTACCTGTGCCAACAACTTTACTTCCCATGTACTTCATGTACAGATCTACATGTAGTTTGTGGCCCTGAATTAGTTTCAATATCTCTAAATAAGGACAAGAGTACTTCTCATATGACAATGATACAAATAAAGTGCAAGAATCCTGAAAAATATTATCAAGTTTTTATTATCATACATTAATATTAACAAATCGTGTGAAATTGAACTGTTATGTACAGAGAAACACATATTTATGCTTTGGTTGACAGCACTTCTCAAAGAAAAAACAAGACATGAAATGTCACTGTCCCCGTTATTTGATTATAAAGTTGTACAAGGAACATCTGCAAACAGGTGAATAAATATGTACTCTTTGTAGTTACAACTCATCATAAAGTGATTTCCGATAATCTAGTTTTGTACTGACAACTAAAAACTTCCACTGACCCATGTTCAGAATCTCAGAGTACACAAGTGCAACAAAACTATTTGTCATACATGTATACTTGCTCAA